ACGTTTGATCTAGCTGGAATTTTGTGTCATAAAATTCCGTCTTTACCTTTGTAAGTTCTTCCTGAGGGCCGCGAAGTTAACTCTGACAGTGGCACGTCCATTTCAGAATCTGAAGAGTTCTCATCATCAACTATTTTGAAGAGGTCTTCCTCCGAATCGACCGAGTCGGTTTCATGAGTTTCTTCTGTAACCTCATTAGACTCTTCGTCGCTGGAGTCGAATACAATATCACTTTCGGGATCTTCGTCCACCTCTTCGAGTAGCAATCTAACGATTTCCCTGTCCTGTAAGGACCTCTCCATTTTGAACTGTAAAGAATATGATACTATAAAGTTGAATTCCAAACAAAATAAAGAACTTTATGAATAAAATACATCAAATTCGTAAAAAGACAAATTAAAACAATAATAATCCCGAGTATTATATATAAAATACGTTACTATTTAAAATATTATGTTTATTTTTACGACACAAAACCACTAATAGCAACAAATGAATACTTACATGAAAACGTCACGCCGTATGCCTGGTGGGGTCTGCGAGACCCGAGCGCACTTTAGGCACGTCCTTTCACTACTGGAACCACAGAACACTATTACTCCTATACTAGAGCATGCCCGGACTGAGGTATATAGACGTGGGCGTTATTTCACGTCACTAGATACAGTAACTGGCTACGCGGCATGTAACCGAATCACTAGTTTCGAGTCATGTTACAGTAGTGATTTTTGTAAATGCGTGATTATGATTACTGTTAACCATGATTATTGCGGGAGGCGGGAGTCGACTGTCGGTCGCTCGAGCGCAAAGCGCACATGTGGCATACAACAATAAACAAACCATCGTAAGTAACAGTATTATTGTACGTTTAATTTTCATACGTAAGACTATACACATAGACAATAAAATAGAGTAAATCTCTATTTGTAAATATTTTCAACGGTTTGCGATTCCGGGAAGCGAGTCACATTGAATTTAACTAAAATAATTTTTTAAACATTTTTGACGGAGTCATGAACTCGTTTATTCATAAAATTAAAATAAAACTAAAAAATGTGTATAAAAAATTAAAAAATTTAAATGTTTATAATATTATAAAACTTAAAAACTGTGTGTAAATAGCCAAACAAACAAACAAATTAATTGTACAGTGTAAATAAAAGTGCAAAAACAAATGACAGTGAAAACGTTGAAAATAAAGTGTAAATAAACTGTAAGTATCAATAATCATTGTATATACAATCAAAATGACTTGTAAATATGCCTGCATTAATAATTTTATGAAAATATTAATGTCATAGTAAACGCAAATCAATCATAAATACATTTAATGCAGTCTGTCCTAAACCTGAATAAAGTACGAGGGTGGATTGAAAAGTACTCGGCCTAACCAAGAAAATAAACACATACTAAATCATTTATATTTTTATTTTTCTACATAATCACCATCAAGTTCAATACACTTTTGCCACCTCCCCTTCCAAGCATTTAGACCGTTGAAAAAAAAATGATTCTTCCTTAGAGTCAAAATATGCGTCTACAGCTGCTTTGACCTCGTCGTTTGTCGAAAATCTTTGACCTCCCAAGTGCTTTTTTAGGTTAGGGAACAGAAAGAAGTCTGATGGTGCCAGATCAGGTGAATACGGCGGATGCGGTAACAGTTCAAAGCCACAGTTGTGAATTTCAGCCATTGACTGTACTGACGTGTGAACACGGGCGTTATCTTGATGAAACAGGACTTTTCTTCTGAGCATTCCTCGAAGTTTTTCTTTTATTTCCTCTCGTAAACGACGTAGTAAGGTGCAGTAGTAATCAGAGTTTATAGTCTGACCCCTTTCAAGATAATCAATCATAATCACAACTTTCGAGTCCCAGAATACTGAAGCCATCACCTTATTTGCCGACAAAATCGACTTAGCCTTTTTAGGGGGTGGTGAACCAGGTCTTCTCCACTGTTTTGATTGTTGTTTTGTTTCCGGTGTACAGTAATGAACCCATGTTTCGTCCATAGTAACAAAACGATTCAAAAAATCATCTGCATCGGCTTCAAATAACTCCAAACAGTCGCGTGAAATAGTCAATCGCGTCCTTTTTTGTTCAACTGAAAGCAGTCGCGGAACCCACCTCGCAGACACCTTGTGGAAACCCAACTCGTTGACAATGATGTTTTGAGTTCGTTCATAAGAGATGCCTATAATCTCGGCTATCTCTCTAATTTTTAATCTGCGGTCTCCCATTATTAAATCAAGTACTTTTTTAATATTTTCGTCAGTAGTTGACGTCGAAGGCCTTCCAGAGCGGGGTTCATTTTTCACACTCTCTCTACCACGCTTAAATTCTGCTATCCATTTTTTGATGGATGAATATAACAGAACACAATCGCCTAATGTACTGAACATGTCATCATGGATGGCTTTTGATGATAGCCCCTTCTTATGGAGGTACTTAATGACGGTACGCTGCTCGATTTGCTCCATTCGCGGAAATTATGTCCGATTACTTTGTTAATAAATTTATAAAATCACAACTAATTATCGCACACGTTTCGAACTTCACACAATGAACTAGTCTGAACTGAACTAAATAATGTGGGTAGATTAGATTTTTAGAACTGAATGGATCTGTGTACGAGTACTTTTCAATCCACCTAGGTATGAAGGGGAGTTAATTTATTGATTTAACAGTATACAGTTACTGTATAGCTACAAACACAGATTGTGATTAAATTTATTTTCGTTTCGTGTGTAACTGTATAGTTGGTGGTGATATTTATGCAAACAATCACAGTAGCCGAATAAAAATAGCCAGTTACAAAAATTACTAGTTTTGAAACAGGTGACGCCGATCAAGTCACTGGTTTCGTTACGTTTCTTGAAAATGACGTAACGACCCACGTCTACTGAGGTAGCGGCCGGAGGGCGTCAATTAGTTCACTACGGTCAGCTACTGAGAGCAGTTGCGAGCGAATTTCAAATTACAATGAATTATAACGGTTTAACGGCTGCGGTGGGTCTCACAGACCCAACCAGGCATGCCGAGGGTTAAATATGGATTCATAAAAAATTTGACAAATCCATCTTTGCTTTTGTGCTTTCTTTGTTCAAAAACATTTTCAAACGAAGCAATGAAGCCTTCAAGACTTCAAAATCATTTGAATAACATACATCCAGATAAGAAGGACAAAAATGTAGCCTATTTTCAAGACCTGGAAAAGAAGCATAATGCCCAGCCCTAAACTTTTTTCGGTGGCTGCTAAGGAAGACGATGACGGACTTCGAGCTTCGTACAATGTCTCTTTGTTAATTGCTCAGACAGGTAAACCACACACCACCGGAAAAACGTTAATTTTGCCGGCAATAAAAGAAGTTATAACTACTGTGCTCCATAAACTGGCGGCAGACATAATTCGAAAAATTAGTTTGGGCAATAGTTCTGTGCAAAGACGAATTGATGAAATGGCTGAAAACATTGAAGGGTCATTGTGCGATCATCTGAAGACTAGTCAATTTTCAATTCAGTTGAATGAGTCCACTTTATCAACAAATGAAGCATTATTTCTAGATGGTTTTTTTGCTTAAATTTGTCAGACACAAAAGGAGAAACCACATTTAAAACAATGGAAAAGCTTTGTGATGAAAAGGGAATTCCCTTGAGGAATATTATATCAGCTGCTACAGATGGTGCTCCAGCTATGATAGCGTACTTAAAAAACAAAACTCCAGATGTGCTTGCTGTACATTGCGTTGTACATCGACAACATTTGGTTGCTAGAAATATAAGTGAACGAATGTTTCAATCAATGCAATATGTCATCAGAGCAGTCAATAAAATCCGAAGCAACTCTTTAAATTACAGATTATTTGATCAGCTTTGTGTTACTCATAATAAAGATTTCAACCGATTGATCTTTCACACAGAATTGCGTTGGCTAAAAGTCTGACTCAATTTTATAATCTGTTTGACTCTGTCGTAGAGTTCTTGGAAAACAAAGAAACAGAATTGAACGACAACCTTATCACATCGAAGAATGATATCTCTTACCTGGACCTATGGAAGACCTATAGAAATTAAAAATTAAAACACCATACCATAAATTACGATACGTATATACGAAGAGATAGGTCACTAATACACAGGGGTTTTGCCATAGATTTTTTTACTTGGTAGAGCAACTATATTATATGCAACTAATGCAACTATATTATAATTTTAGCACAAAAGGGTCGGAATTCATATGGTAAGTGTAAAGAATCGGAGACCCTTTTTTCTGGAATCGACTAATTCCATCTCAGTCCTTAGGAGTGACAACTCATCTGCATTTTGATTCTTAATTGAAGATAAATGTGGATGTCCATGGGCCACAGCATCTACTTACCATCAGGTGGACTGTTTGCTCGTTTGTACACACAATGCTATAAAAAAAGTTTATATGGGATAAAAAAATCATGCGTTTTTCCAAAAAAATTTTATGTATACTATTAGATAGGCAATTCAAAACTAAAAATGTGTTTGTGGATCGCGCGGCGGTAGCTGGCACGGTGAATGTGCCACGTAAGATGGTAGTTGTACTTATTGATATTTACGATAGTTACTGTTTTAGGCAAATACGAAAGTTAAATGCTTATTTGAAATAAACTTCAAATCACGTTGACAAAACACGCAAATAAATAAATAATGAAAACTTTTCTTAGTCACATCAAGATCAGTGTTAGATTGTTGAAAACAACGTTCGCGGTTTCCAATACAAAGGACATATCTTCTCGCGCGCTCGCAGTCAAGGTCAACGAAAGGAGTTGCGAAGAATTGACCGTAACTTACTGTGCAATGCATAAACACTTTCACCGTCCGATTTTCTGATACAATAGTAAAACAATAGCAATGACCTATATGTAGAGCATAGGACATCGAAAGTGTTAAGGAAGCTGAGCTCGTCTAGAAGTATAATACATAGAAATCTTCGTATTTTTCTTTACATTTTAACCTTACATTCGTTAACCTACCCGCCAGTTACTCAAAAGAAAAACAATTTCGGCGTAAGCCTGACCAAGCCTTGTTCCCGCTTGGACCGAACGCAAACCTTTTGTACCCTGGCGGATAAAGGGATTGGTACAACCCCAAAGTATCCCGGTCAACACCAACAAACCTGAAACGAAAACAAAAGTTTAATTGCTGACTGAGCAAGGGAATATTTAAAGGAGTACTTAAGGACCTATACAATTTTTTTTATTACATAATTTAAATGGTATAATTATTTAGAAGTATAACCACGCTGCAGCTATATTACGGTTGCAGCACGAATGGGTCGGCTCGACCGGGGAAGGATCACCCTCTCACAGAATACCAGTGTAAATTAGCAGCTTAATGCTGCTGTGTTTCGTTTGGTGAGTGTAGTAAACCGGAAGCTCTTTTTACTGGAAACATGACACTCCATCTTAGTCCTCACGGGTGACAAATCATCTGCATTTTGATTCGTAATCAACAATAGATGTGTATGGGCCGCCACAGCAACCACATACCTATGTGCTCGTTCGTCACCCAAAAAAGATATTTTCTATATTTAAATATTTAAAAACGCTTCGTTTTCTTTTACGAGCCGTTTTGCATTAAATTAAGTGCATGAAAACTGCTCTTTTAAAACAAAACACCAGTTCAACTATACTATGTATGAACCGATTAAAGTTATTTTTTTTTTTTCATTTTAAGTCATTATATAAGTTGCTAAATGAATAGTTTAACTGTTTGCCTATGTAATAAAACGAATCATTTCTGAAAACGAAACTTTTCTTATAAGAATCGGACATGAGTCTTTAGTCATATATTTTTAGCCGACTTCGAAAAAGAGGAGGTTCGTAATTCGAATATACGGTTTTTAACCATCGACGAAAACAGAAGGGTGTTGTTTATAAGTTTTTTTTCTTTTGGGTCTGTGTATCTGACTGAGGCATCATAGCTTCTGAACGGATTAACCGAATTTGATTATGTTTTTTTCGTTTGAAAGTCGAGTGCTCTTAGCTAAGTTACAAGAAAATCTGAGCTCTTTTTGTTTCGGAGGTTTTTCATCATCGTCAACATTACAGCCTTTCACAAGTGCACTGGCGTAACATCGGTATACTAGGCGACAGAGGGAAACTGAAGCGAGATGGCCAGCAGCATCTTCCTAATGAACGGCTCAAAATAATGAACCACTGGAAGACGATATTTTTGGTTTAGTGTAATTAAAATCATGATATCTGTGGGTCACAGCAAGCACTCAGCAGGTGAATTGTGTGCCCGTATGCGCATTTATTTCTATATAAAACATACATATAGCTTAAATAAGTACACATAATTATATTATAACTATATTATAAATTTATAATATTACTTATATTATAAATTTAATTTAATTAATTATATTATAAATTATAATTATATTATTAATACACATTATATTGTAAAGTATACGTGGTACAGCCACGTTGCAGCTATATTATGGTTGTAGCACGAATGGGTCGGCTCGCACGGAAGGACCACACTCCAAGAATACCAGCGTAAAATTGCAGCTTAATATTGCTGTGTTTTTTTATAGAAGAGGGGGCAAACGAGCATGCGGCTCACCTGATGTTAAGTGACTACCGCCGCCCATGATCAACCTCAACACCAGGGGAATTGCAGGCTCGTTGCCGGCCCTTTAGAAAGGAGTAAGCTCTTTTCTTGAAGGTCCCCAGGTCGTATCGGTCCGGAAAAATCGCCGGTGGTAAACTATTCCACAGAGAGGTTGTACGCGGAAGAAAACTCCTTTTGAAACGTACAGTGGTGGACCGCCAAGCATCCAGATGGTATGGATGGTATCGGGACGTTTGCCGCGTAGTGCGTTCATGAAATTTGGCGGGTGGGATTAATCCGAACAATTCCTCAGAGCACTCTCCATGGTATATGCGAAAGAAAATGCAAAGAGATGCAACATCTCTTCGCAGTGCCAGTGAATCGAGCCGATCGGAAAGCACTCGGTCGTCGACGATTCGAGCCGCTCTGCGCTGGATGCGGTCAAGTGGAAGGAGCTGGTACTGGGGAGCCCCAGCCCAGAGATGGGAACAGTATTCCATGTGCGGCCGAACCTGCGCCTTGTAAAGTTGCAGGCGGTGTGCCGGCATGAAATACTGTCCCGCTTTGCTAAGCACGCCAAGGTAGAGATAGTGTAGAAATCCGGATCCCCGTTTTACTGGAATCGAGGCATTCCATCTTAGTCCTCAGAAGTGACAACGCATCTGCATTTTGATTCTTAACCTTTTGAGCGCCAAAGTCGCCTATACTTGACCGGCAACTGCGGGCCCTGAGCGCCAACGACCTTTATAGTTGACAAAAAACCCGGCCCACAAAAATATGAAACACTTATAGACATTGGAAAATTATTACTGGTATTTTAATTCTACACTCCTCAAAAAAGAATAACCCAGCAACATGTGAGTACACAAAAAAAGTCTTCTAGAGCTACAAGTACTAAGAAACATTGAACGAAAAAAATGGATTTTTATTTAAACAAATACTATGGTTGCGCGGAAAACCATTCGCGTTTTTATTTTTGACGGTAGGAATTTGTCGAATCATTATTCCCTTCCGAAACAATATCATTCGTACCCTCCTATCGACACATCGGGGTGGTGGGGTGGGAGGGGAAAGAAGACGATTCTAGAACATCGCGTAATCATCGGACCCGAGGATATATAAGACACGCGCGACCGACGCGCGCTCTCTTCTCCCGCCGCAGTCGTCGTTGAACTACAACCTCCTCTTCCCGCGCGCTCGTTTGGAAACACCTCACTAGTGGAAACCGCTTTGGCCTGGAAGCAGTCGAGCTCCAGGAACCCGCCTCACCTCGTGTGAGATATCGTCGCGCACCGCCTCTCTCCGGAGTGTTCCGGAAGTCGCCGCCATAGTGATCGACAGGAAGAAGAAACCCCGGTGAGTCAATACTCCTTAATTATACCTGCTTGCTAATAATTTAACCCGCTCCAATTTGTGTTTTTTTCCTAGTCAAGCAGGATTCCTTTCATCGATTCGACAAGTAATAGTTTAGTTTAGGGAAGAGCGAGTGCATTGTACCGCATGCTATAGTAGTCGCTTCACATAAGCATAGAAGCAATCGCATATACAGTCCACTTTAGTTAATATCTCGCGTAATAGGTTTGAGGTTTGACCGGGGGAACTAGATTTTCGGCAGCCTTAAACACGTGGCTCCACCATTTTATGGTCACTTCGGCAGGATCTGGATTGGTGTTTAGTGGTTATCCAACCATTTTCTGGTCGAATTATTAAATTAATTGTTTAGATAACGCACTCTAACTTATGGAATAGACTTAAATAGTGTTCGTTTAAATTAAAATTTTGATTTGTTACTCGCAAACAGAATTATTCATTTAATAGCGCTCGTATTTGGTTAAATTTAAAGCTTATTAAATAATTGAAACGGCGTGATAGCAACCGTTTGATACGCTTACCCCACAATTTTATAAAATTATTAGGTTTAGCAAACGACGCGTAGCCTTGACTGCATCGGGCGCTCGATCTGATTACGTAATACAGCACGCCGAGTATTCATCCTACGTCGTTTATGCGTGTGAGATTAATTGTGATTAATATAACTTTATTATAATAATTTAAAATGGCAGTTAGTGGAAGTGAAATCAAAATTAAAACGCTTTATGCCAAGAGGGACATACTCTTTTCGCGTATGCAGAATATAAGTGATTATATAAAGAACATTCATATAGAGGCAGTGCGGGAGGCCTTTTTAAATGAAATCGAAACGATAGATAATTTGCGGACAGATTACGAAAGAATATTAGACCAAATTAATCATTCCGAACTACAAACCGACCCGAAATACATAGTGAACTACCAACCGCTGCTGGCATTCGAAGATATGTTGTGTCGCGTGAAGAGAACCGCAAAATTGCTACAATCTCAAGGTGAAGCGAAGCCTGAAATGCAGGTACGCCCTCGTGACTCAATTAGGTTACCGCCAATAGATATTCCGGTATTCAATGGTGATATTAAGACGTGGCCCTTCTTCTTCAGTAGTTTTCAAAACAATATACACAACAACCCATCGTTATCGGACGCTGAAAAATTATATTACTTAATTAGCAAACTTAGTGGCAGAGCACAGTCGATCTGCTCGGGTTTTACACCTACAGCAAACAATTACGTATTAATATTTGAAACGCTTAAAACTAAATATGAAGATAGGAGAATGTTAGCTTCCGAATATTTGAACCAGATATTCGATCTTAAACCTATATCATCCGCGAACATCAACGGCTTAGAGCAGTTTCTCGATAAATTTGTGGCATCGGTGGCTGCACTTAAGAATTTGAAGTTTAATGACCTCATGGACGTGGTGTTTCTCCATATAGCATTGAAGAAACTAGACTCCGACACCGTGCGTGCGTTTGAAATGGAGCATCGTAGCTCGGAGATGCCTTCCTTTCATTCATTAGCATCGTTCGTGCGAGATCAAATAAAGGTGATGCAGCGCTCACCGAACGTTAAACAGGAGATTAAAAGGTGCGTCGACCGTAGACAGACTCAATCATCTAAAATAGCAGGGTCGTTAACTTACGTAACCGCTACGCCGACATCGCTCCAGCATACTTGTATAGTATGTAAAGATAAACACGGTAACTTATATAACTGTGCGACTTTTCGTAAATATTCACCAAGCGAACGTTATAAGTTAGTAAAGACAAACAACCTATGTTTGAACTGCTTAAGCGATAAGCATTTAGTTGCAAAATGCAATTCGAGTTCCGTATGTAGCAAGTGCGCCAGGAAACATCACACGCTATTGCATTTTGAAAATAGCAACATAGCGGCGTCAAGTAAGGCGAATAAGGAATTCACCCCTACTAAGGTCAACGATTCTAGCGGTCGACCTGATGATGTCGCTCTGTGCTCATTGGCAAATATGGGAGCACAACCTCCTTCAACCGTGTTACTGGGTACGGCGCGTATTTTGGTTAGGGATTCGCGCGGAAACAAACAAAGCGTCCGTGCACTGCTGGACAGCGGAGCCCAAAATAGCTTTATAACACGACAATGTTGTCAGCGCTTAGGCTTAGTAATAAATAGGTCACTTTCATGTCCTGTAGTTAAAGGCATC